ACAAAAACAAACTACATCTAGTCTTATCATATTCAACCTGCAGAAAAAGAAAAACAAAATCTTGAAAGAAGCCAAAGAAGGAAAAATTAGCTTTCCCATATGGGATAAAAATTACCACAAACTTCTCATCTGAAAATTTGCAAGCAAGAGAGAGAGCAGCACAAAATATCTAAAGTAGTCAAGGAAAAAACTCACCAACCTAAAATTCTGTCTCCAACAAAATTATCCTTCAAAACTAAAGAAGAAATAAAGACTTTCCCAGACAAACAACTGAGGGAATTCATCGTCAGCTGACTCCTTGCAAGAAGTGTTAAAAGATTTTTTTTTTTTTTTTGGGGAGGAAGATTCACCCTGAGCTAACATCCATTGCCAATCTTCCTCTTTTTTTTTTTTTTTTTTTGGCTTGAGGAATGTCAGCCCTGAGCTAACATCTGTGCCAATCCTCCTCTATTTTGTATGTGGGATGCCTCCACAGCATGGCTGATGAACGGAGTAGGTCCACACCCGGGGTCTGAACCCGCAAACCCGGGCCATGGAAGTGGAGCACATGGAACTTTAACCACTCGGCCACAGGGCCGGCTCTAAAAGATATTTTTTAGGCAAAGGACAGTGATATGTATCTGAAGCGTGGATCTACATAAAGCGAAGGAAGGCATCAGAGAAGGTATAAATGATGGTAAAATAAAATGTCATTTTTCTTATTCTTTTTTTTTTTGGCGGAGAAAGAATCGCCCTGAGCTAACATCTGTTGCCAATCTTCCTCTTTTTGTTTTCCTCTCCAAAACCCCAGTACATGGTTCTATATCCTAGTTGAGGTGTTCTAGTTCTTCTATGCAAGCTGCTGCCACAACATGGCAACTGACAGACAGGTGGTATGGTTCCACAACCAGGAAGCGAACCTGGGCTGCCAAAGCAGTGAGTGCTGAACTTTGACCACCAGGCTGTCAGGACTGGCTCTTGTTTTTCTTATTCTTGATTTATCTAAAAGATAGCTGTTTAAAGCAACAACAGTAACAATGTATTTAATGATTATTGCATATGGATAAGTGAAATCAATGACAACAATGTCACAAGGGGTGGGAGGGAGGAATTAGGAATACTGTTTTTAAGGTACCTACACTACACATGAAGCAAGAATAGTGTCACTTGAAGGTGGATTAGTTTAGTTAAAATATCCACTGTCAACTCTAAAACAATCACTTAAAAATTTTTAAGAAGAATTTTTTAATGCTAAGAAAGGAGATAAAATGGAATCATATAAATTGCTCATTTAAAACCAGAGAATGCAGAAGCAAGAAGCATCTGGCAATGAACAGAAAATGGTTACAAACATGGTTGATATTAATCCAAATATATCGATAATCACTTTAAATGTGAATGGCTTAATACAGTAATTGAAAGACAGAGATTGTCAGAATGGATAACAAAAAAAAAAAAACAAGATATGTTGTCTATAAGAAATCCACTTTAAATATAAAGATTCCAACAGGCTAAAGTAAAGGAGGGAGAAAGTTATACCATGCTAACATTGATCAATATAGCCGGAGTAGCTATATTAATTTCAAACAAAGAAGACTTCAGAGCAAGGAAAAGTATCAGTAATAAAGGGGGCCACTACATAATGATAAAGGAGTCAGTTCTGCAAGAAATGCATATGCACCTAAAAACAGAGTGTCAAAATACACTCTGAGGCAGAAACTGATAGAACTGAAAGGAGAAAAAGACGAATGGGCAATTGTAGTTGGAGACTTCAAAACCCTCCATCAGTAACATACATCTAACATGCAGAAAATCAATAAGGATATAGTTGACTTGAAGAGCACTATCAATCAACTTGATCTGATTGATATTTATAGACTATTCCATCCAACAAAAAAAATACACATTCAGGGCTGGCCCAGTGGCGCAGCGGTTATGTTCCACTTTGGCCGCCCCTGGGTCCACCGGTTCAGATCCCAGGCATGGACCTACTCACCACTCATCAAGCCATGCTGAGGTGGTGTCCCACATAGAAGAACTAGAAGGACCTGAAACTAGGATATACAGCTAGGTACTGGGGGCTTTGAGGAGGAAAAAAAAAAAAAAGAAGAAGATTGGCGACAGATATTAGCTCAGGGACAATCTCCCCCCACCACCACCAAAAAAAAAATACACATTCTTCTCAAGCTCACCTGGAACATTCACCAAGATAGATCACAAAACACACCTTAGCAAATTTAAAAGAGTAGAAATCATACAAAATATGTAATTCTAAATAAATAGTATTAGTTATTTGAACATAAATAGCCCTAGAATGAAGAAAATAGACATACATCCTACCACATTTTTAATGGACACATTCCCTAAAGAATATCTCTTTTCCTTTACTTTTTTTTTGTTTTTAAGATTTTATTTATTCATTTTTTTCCCCCCAAAGCCCCAGTAGATAGTTGTATGTCATAGGTTCACATCCTTCTAGTTGCTGTACGTGGGACTCGGCCTCGGGTTGGACGGAGAAGTGGTGCCTTGGGGCGCGCCCGGGATCCGAACCCAGGCCGCCAGCATCAGAGCGCGCGCACTTAACCGCTAAACCATGGAGCCGGCCCTCTTTTCCTTTACTTTTATTGTTTGTTCAACAATATGCCTTCTGATATCCTCTGCCTGGTTAATGCCAACTTATGCTCAGTCCAAACTTAAAGGTTAAAAACTTTAATATGATATAATAAAAGCATAAACAAAGTTAATCACTGAAAAACAATCTACAGAAAATAATGAAATATTTATGACATAAAAGATTAATGTCCTTAATATATCAAAAGATTTTATAAATCAATAAGAAAAAGATGAACACATTTATTCTTGGATCTTAATCCACACAGCAGTCAGAGTAGTATCTTTAAAACTCAAATCTGGCCATGTACTCCCCTACTTAAAGTCTTTCAATGGCTTCACATTGCTCTTAAAATAAAGTCCAAACCCTTAACATGGTCCGCACTATCTGGTCCTTACCTACCTCTCTAGACTTTTCTCCCATCATTCCTCTCCTCTCCCTCTCTGGTCCAACTAGACTATTCTTTTTTCTGCTCCTTGCCACCATAAATTTTTTGCACATACTGATCCCTCTTCCTGGAGTCACACCATCACTCCCTTCACCCGACTGATGCCCACTCATCTTTCAGATCCCAGCTTAAATATCATTTCTCAGGGAAGTCATTCACCATCAACTTCAGATCAGTTCAGATTCCCTATTGTGTGTTCTTCATAGCCTTGAGCAAACAGATGAAATCATGTCTCTGAATCTTCAGAGCTCAGAACCAGACGCTGAGAAGGCCCTGACCCTCCCAGGAAAGTAAGGCTCAGGGCAAAGCAGCCATTGGCTTCTGGAACCTTTTTATCTACAACAGTCATGGATGGTAAAGAAGCTCAGGAAAGTTATGATGAGAGCTTCTCCTAGACTATTGGTCCTTAGCTTTCTTCTGAATAGACAACTTTGAGAATGTAATGAAATCTATGGGACTTCTCCCCCAGAAAGATGCACATAAGCAAGACATTTGATAATGTTTTCAACATTTCACAATTCCACTAAAGTCCACCTATTCACCCCAGGTTAAGAACCCCAACTGTAGGCTTAGTGAGAATCTCACACACAAACACACTGGTTCCCTGGCTTTGTTCATTTAATCATTACGCATTGAGTATCTACAGTTAGAGACTCCAGTAACAATAAAACCTTATAAATGAAATTGGATTTATGGTTTAAAAGAATAAAAAGATTTGCACATTCATTGTCTCATTTCCTCTTCACAAAAACCCAATGAGGTAGGCACACATTGCTCTACCTGTTTTACAGATGAAAAACATAAGTAATCTCAGAGAACATAGGTGATTTGACTAGGACCACCCAGCCAAACAGGAGTTGAAACCCAAGAGTAAAATGCAACCTTTTAATCCTAGACCTGGCCCTTTCCCTCCATATTGACATTGACCCCAATGGCTGGTGGGATAGAACCCGTGCCTAGTGTTGTAGCAGCCCACTGAATACCACAGTCATCATACAGGGATAACCCCCAAGGCCACAGTCTCAGCCCCCGGTTCCCATGCTGGTCAGCCTCATGCTCTCCTATTCCAGGTGGTGATATAACTCTGCAAATTCGCGGTTCCAGCAGCAGGACTTCCCAGGTGTTTGGAGGAGGTAGCCAGAGCTCCCCATCCCCTGGCCCAGAGCATAATAGCTAACATTCTTTGAGTTCTTAATATGTCAGGCACCATCCTAAGCTCCTTGTATGAATTAACTCATTAAACCCTCAGAACAACACCATGAAGTAGATAGTAGTATTATCTCCATTTTGTGGACACTTGGGAAGGTTAAATAACTTGTCCAAGGTTACACAACTAATAATAATTTTCAGAGCCAAGATTTGAGCTCTGGAGCCTGTGCTCTTAACCAAACCACCATTCTACCTCTCCTGAGCCAACTGTCCTTAACTTTGGGGGGTCATATGCCTCCTGGAGAGTGTAATTATAACTATGGACTCTCTCCCTAGGAAAATGCAGTTAAGCAGAATTTTGCAAAATATTTCAAATAAGTCAGGGACCCCTAAGGCCCATCATGTACCAACCTCATGTATACTGGAGGGAATTGTCCAGGGACGAAAAGAGAAGCGGCGCCAGCGCCGCAGGGCTTCGCCTCTGCAAATGCAGGAGGAGAGCTGAGCTGCGCGGCGTGACGGGGATGCTCGTTCACTGAGAATCAGCTCCCGGGACTGCAATGCCATGAGAACGCAGCGGGGCGGCTAAGCCTCCGGAGTCCTGTAGCTGAACGAGGTACGCCCGGACCACCCGCTAGACGGAAATCTTGCGTCCCTCTCCGCATCCTGGTGTCACGAGACGGGAGACTTGGAGCGGACGGTATCTCAGAACTCTGGTCCTGGGCGCACAGAGACGGCATCGCTGTTGATGCTGAACGCCGCGGTCGCGGACCTGCGTTCCCAGCACCGCGCCGCAGGCGCTGCGGGAGCTGTCCAGTGCTGAACCCGGGTGCGGCCCGGCCCGCGGGGCACAGACCCGAGTCTGCAGCACCCAGCGGAGCCGGACCGAGCTTCTGGGAGTGCTGACGCAGAGGGCGGGGAGAACGGGAAGCAGCGGGCTAGTAACCGGGCATGGACCCGCAGAGACTCGACTCCTACCAGGGGGGAGCTGGCCCTGACTTCAATGAGCACGTCCTGCATAAGGTAAGAATTTCCTCTAGTCCCCCGCCCCACCTCAACCCTGGGAGAGGGCGGCGTCAGCAGTTCTCTCCGTTCTCCTGCCTTGGCTCTGGGACTTAAGGAGAAACTGGCCCGTATCTGTGAGTCTGGGGAACCCTTTATGTTTGATCCTATTTACTGCTCAAAAGAGAGATGCATGAACGCTGGAGGAGGGACCGCCGCCAGAGGCTCAGATTGTCAGGAGCTTCGTTCATTCATTTAAATCCCCTATTCCCTTTCTCACTCACTCCCTCCTGCCTCTCATCCATTTGAACTCCTGTGTACCCCGAGCACCCTTGCCCTCTGTAACCCTTGTGGGAGGCTGTGTTGGTCCTCCCACCCTTGCCTCAAAAGCTCCGGCTCCATCAGGTCTGGTAGTTGTGGTCAAAGACCTGAATTCTTGGCCAACTTGGCTGAAACTAAACATAGAAATGATCTGCAGCAGAAATAAACTGTTGTTTTCAAACCAGACTCCTTCATGACTCCAGAAAGCTGCCCTCCAGCCATGACTCACTCATAGCCTCCTGACAGCGTTTCCTTACTTCAAAGCTCTAACTCATCCATTGCTTCCCTCATTCGAGTTTCTTATGCAATGTAATTCTCAATAATGTAGGTCTCCTCTTGAAGTGATTGTTGGCAAAAAGTGGCAGCCTCTCTCTAGACAACACTTCTTAATCCAAAATTCATCACTTTGAAAAAATCAGAGCCTTATATTTGCCATAAGGAGTTATTATTACTCCTCAGCCCTTTCTCTGCCCTCCTCATTCAGCCCTTAAATTTCCAACTTTGTTAATACTGCTTTATCTGTTAGTTCCTTGAAAGGCTGTACATGGTCATATACTTGGAGATTTTTTAAATCCATATATCACTCTGAAAATTCCATGAATGCAAGTTTTGAAATAATCTGATCCACGCTCTTACCCTATTACACAGTTTATATTTGAGAAAACTAAAGTCCAGAGAGGCAAATTGGCTTGTCCAAGAAAACAAGGTAGTAAATGGCAGAGCTAGTATTAAAAGCCAGGAATTACAACTCCAAGTCTAATATTCTTTTCTCTATACACGTGTGGTCCGTAGACCAGCAACATTGGCATTACCTGGGAGCTTGTTAGAAATGTGAAATCTCAGACCCCACCCCAGACCTACTGAATCTGAATCTGTATTTTAAGAAGATCCGTAGGAAATAAATATGCACATAAACATTTCAGATGCATGGCTTTGTGCCACACTGGCTATTTCTGTCACAAATGAAGGAAAATCCACTCTTAAAGGAAGTGAGTCTGTAGATTTGAATAGTCCATGTGACTTCTCCCTCCAGGTCCCTGAACCCCTAGGGTATTAGAGAAGGAAAAAAAATTACAGCAACTGCCCCAGTCAGGAAATTTTAAAACCATTACAGTTTGAAGTAGACTAGAATGAGATCTGTGTTCTTTGAGGTTGTGAATTTAGCCCCAATAGAAAGTGCATTCAAGTAAAAGGAACATAATTACAAATCAATTACAAAAGCATCCTAGTGACTAGATATATAGGACTCTCCAAGTTTAAACCACCTTATAAAGACATAAATATTCATTTTGAAAGCTTTAAGATTTGGAGGTCAGTTTTCAAATAATTGATCAAGTGTGGTCTTTCCCACCTCAATTACTCACACATGAAATGTAGGATGTAGCCCATGAGAACTTTCACTTCCCTTGGGTTTACTGATCACTAATTTGGGAAAGAGCCCATTCCTACAACTTCAGATATATTTGAAGGCAAGTGTCTACTTACTGCTAGTAAATGCTTGGTCTCTTCAGCTTGGTCGTGAGCATCTTGAGAGCAGAAACTGGCTTAAATCTTCCGCAGTACCCAACAGAGTGGCATATATATGTAGAAATTTTTCCTTTTCATACAGCGCTGAACACCTCTTCCTAATATTTTATTATGGTGCATGACATTTTTTTTTAATTTTATTTATTTTTTCCCCCCAAAGCTCCAGTAGATAGTTGTACGTCATAGCTCCACATCCTTCTAGTTGCTGTATGTGGGACGCGGCCCCAGCATGGCCGGAGAAGTGGTGCATTGGTTCGCACCCGGGATCCGAACCAGGGCCCCCAGCAGCGGAGCGCGTTCACCCAACTGCCAAGCCACAGGGCCGGCCCTGGTGCATGACTCTTTATTGTGATCCACTGAAAAATCTTTTTGTAAAGAGGCAGGGTATCAACATATTTGTATTATTTTTAAGTCTGCTATATAATAGAGTCCAAGGAATTCCTGTTGATTCATGAGAACATACTGTCCACGGGAAGCAGGGCTCCTCTCCAACATTAGTTGCTAGGAAAAAGGATTTTTTAAGAAAACTTTTTATTGAAGTATAACAAACACAAAAAAATCCTGAATCTTATGTGTACACCTTGATGGATTATCACTAAGTAAGGACCCCTGCGCAACCACTACCAAGATGAACAAATAGAACCTTGCCAGCTTCCCAGAAACCACCCCAAATGCCCCCTTCCACACACCCTCCCCCTTCTCCTCACCAGAAATTTCCATTATAGAGGGGGAAGTTTCATTTAATGTTTTGACAGAGCCATCAGATTTTATGTAGGATAGTCCCAGGAACTTGCCAGAGAAGAGACATTGCTGTATGATGGAAAGAAACCCCTAGCTTGGAATCAGACAGAACTTGCTGTGACTTTGAACAACATGTATAAATCTTACTTTTATTGTCTATAAAATAGGAATAATAATACCTGGCTTGTTGTTTTTTGAGTGAGGATGTCAAATAATATAATGTAAAATATATATATAGTCTCTGGCATATAGGAAGCATTCATTAAATGGTGGGTGTTACTAGGGCACACATCTTGGCCTCCAGAGCAACTTCAATAGGTGTCACATTTGGTCTCACCTAAAATGATGAAGCTTTATGAGAAGAGCAGCAGCTGTAAACACAGAAACATACACACACACACACACACTCACACACACACACACACATTACACAGGCACAATCCCATGGGATTAAGCTCATGCAACCCACCTATACAAAAATCATGACTTCCATGTGACTATCCCAACCCTGATTTCTCTTTTCTCTGGGAGGTGAGGTATGGGATGCAATGAAACCTCTCATTAAAATTCACTTATAAGAAAAACATATGCCAAATATCATCAGCCTTGGATGGCACTTGCATTTTAGCTGGTCCCAAGAGTTGGAGGCTGAGCCAGATGAGCCTGAGTAACTCTTAGAATATTCCTGGAGCATGGGCTGGGAGCTGGGAACTGCTTGGAAACATTGAGTTCATCCATCACATGCTGGGAGTTTTTAAATAGAGTTGCTGTTATTCTCACAAATACAAATATTTGATGCAACTAAATAATTTAAAACATGTGAGAAACCTTGCTGCTCTTTCCCTCAGAGAACTCCCAGCCCTCTCTTGCTACCAGTACAGTCTCAAGAGCCATCAAGGGCAATGATGTGAGTTAGGGTTCAGGAACAGGATTGGGTTCTTGCTGTGCCAGGACCTGACTGTGAGCCCCGGGAAAATGAAGCACAGAGAGGGGCAGATTTTGCGCCAGATGCTAGTGAATTAGGACAAAGACTTCAGTTCAAGAGCTTACATCCTGATTCATCATCGCCAGGGCTCTGATGAACACCTACATGCCAATCTAGTTCCACAACCGGCGAACAACTACTAAGCCAAAGTCAGTCTCCTCCATAGCATCTCAGAAAGACCAGTGACCAGGGGGCAGGAAGACATGGACTGTCACCCATCCATCCATCCATCCAGGGCTTGGTCCTTGTTGGAAAAAAATAGAATTTTATCAGGGAGATATGGACAAAAGGTCTCCATCCTACAAGGGATTCCTCTTCCCTCTAACTCTGCCCTAACACCTCTTCTAGGTGAGTGGGAAAGGCAAGGAGGTCATCTCTACCACTCACCCTCCTCTCTTCCACTTCTCTTTCACTCCCCTCTTCTACTGCTCATCTTGTGATTTCCATATCCCTCAATAGTCTGCCTGTGTCATCTAGTCATTCAGCAAACATGTACTGAGCATTTCCAAAGGGTAAGAAACTATGCTGGGCCTTATAGAGAACACAGACACAGACACACACACACACACACACACACACTCACACACAATGGTTCCCACCTTCCATAAGCTCGTGGCCTATAAGACACGCACACAAATTGCAAATTGCTGTAATACTGTGTAGTGTCTCAGAAGTGCCCTAGGAAAGGTACAGGAAGATACAGTGAGATAATCCGGGAAGAAATGGTCATTCCTGACCTCAATTTGAGGCCAGATCCTCTCTCACTTTTGGCTTCTGAATGGAACAGTTCCTCACACTAGCCAGCCTCCACCTGCCATGAGGTCGTCACTCACTGATCCTAGAGAAGGATCTGGGTTCAGCAGTATTTTCCTTCCCTGCCAGAAAATGTTACCAATGAAAGACAAATCAACCAGCAAAAGGCCATATACCCACTATTCTGTCTCCCTCTACCATTCTTTATCCCTCTGGGCATTTTTTTTCCCATTTAAACAATGTTAATGGAATACAAATTTATGGTCAAAGAATCCGATTCCACAGGAAAATTCATACCCTGTAAGTGAAGAGATTTTACTTTCAAAGTAAGTCCATCATAACTCAATAAAGTGGTGTTTTGTTGTTTTTTTTTAAGAAAGAATATGTAAAACCAAAGTGAGAGCACTAGCTCCAATTCTCGCCAGATTTCCATCCTCAGCTCAGGAACAAAAGACAAAGCCAAGAAAAGTTAGCTGCTCCCTGTGGAATGTTTCCATTTGCTGTTTCCCTCTCTCGCTTGCTCTGGAGGCTGTCAGATAAATAAGCGAAGTGTATGCTACCACACTGACGATCTCCATCAACTGGGACTCCTTTGGCTAATTTGTCGGTCCTGCCCAGATCCCAGAGCAGGCAGCTGGCTTGGGGAGTGGTGCTAGCGGGTTCTCTTGGATAACCTCAGCAGGAAATGAGGATG